ACCATAACCTTCTTCAAGTAATCGATGAACTTCTGCTACACTTTTTTTCAAATCAAAATAGTGCAAAAGCACATGTCGAAAAAACACTTTATCGCGTTCCATTTTTCACAAAGCAAAAGAAATTGTTGTTTAGGAAAATAATTGTGTATGCTGACTGAATGTTATCGAGAAATGTCGAAATTAATCACAAACTACCTGTTTCGTTAGTAATGACTACTAGAACTGTTTCGTTAGTAATGACTACTAGAACTGTTTGCATTGCCATCTAACATTTGCGGGCGGAAACTAAGTTAAGGTCCTAATAGTTACTGGCCAAATCTCAACTATCGAATCAGTTCACTGAAGGAAATGTTTGATGATACTGACCAGAATTCTATTCAGATTTACCAAACGGCATGGTGAATGATCATATAACAAGATATTTAGTCAATGATACCAAACAATCTGGTGAGCGCATTGTCTAAGTAGCATTACAGTGATGTTTAAATATGTTTAAATATGTTTACCAAACCTGGTACAGCATATAATTCATTTGGTGAATATTCATTTGATATATATACATATATATACAGCTATATATATAATTTTCATATACTTACTGCATATAATCTTCATATATTTACTTCTACATTTGTCAACATATTTTAAGAAATTCTATTCTTCCAAATATCTGATGGTTTCAATTCTTTTATAACACCGACGTCTTTACAAATTAATATAGATGAAAAAGGAAACGTCGCAGCGAGTAACAATTAACTATCGCGTCTATAGTATCACGCGTCTAGAGAGAATCACCAAACTGTTTAGATGCCTACAACTAAATGTCTCGGTATCGACTATCAGATGCGTTAAAGCATCGTAATCAGAATATTGGATATGTGAACTAGATATCGCATATAAATTCACTATATTACTTTCATAAGACGAGTATAGAGTCATTCACCAAGCCATTTCTCTCAGTGTCAATAATTCGTTGCTGCAACGATATAATTCGTTCAATTGACTAAACGTTTGCTCGAACTTTGTTCGTTCAAGTAAAGTTTCACTAACTTAGCCACTTTTTTCTCAGTGTAGAAACCCAGCAACAGTAACAGTTATATAACTGTTACTTGGTGTGTGCTGGGAATATAAAAGAAGTATGAAAAAAAGACCAAAATTTGTTCAAGATAATATGTTATGTAAAATATAATATGAAAACCTGAGTGTAATTTTTAATAAAATTTTGCTACATCAATATAACAAAAAATGCCCATTATTGTGTAATGTAAATTTAACGATTAATTTAGTACGATGTATTTATCTCATAAATGTGATTAAAATAATTATAGAGCTTCCATCATTGATTGTCTCACGTCGTGATAATTATAAAAGTCTGTCTGGGCAACGTTATATATGTATGACGCAACGATCTCTCACGAGAGACCAGCGTCACATATATGTATGACAAAAAAAGTTTTTCTCTGTTCGAATGTATATTATCAAACAAAGTCTGCTTTTTACACAATTTCATAATAAAGTGCTCTGTGGAGAGTTCTCTAAATACATCGTGATAGCGAATGTAAACGTGTTAATTAATTAATTCACTCATTAATTAATGTATTTATAAACAGAATAACTTTTTTGACAATAGAATAGAAAAATACATTTGCATATATACACATGCATACATATGTATACATACATAAACTAATACAAAAAGATTTATATTAAATATTATTATATATTATATTATTATATATATTATATTATTATTATTATATATAATATGTAATTATATATAATAATATATAATAATATAATATATTCTTATTATTACATATTAAAGAAAGGAAAAAATAAAAAAAGAGGAAAGAGAAAAACATAAACACATGAACATATAAGATTATATGACATCGCATAGCGATTGTAAAGATTATTTTACAATGAATTAATTAATTAGCAATTGTAAAAATTAGCTGCGCACACAAAGCAGACTTGTTCTACGTACGAGAAGGCTCCGGTAATTTAACTAGTTAGTCGTTGACTGTTTCAGACGCCATCATCACAAGTCCCGCAAGTACTCTCTGCAGGAGGACCCGCAATGGCGAAAACGCTCTGGAGCCGGTCTGCCGGACAACTCCGGCCTGTTGACTCGTCGCGTCAGCGTGCAGCCGGAGGAGGCGAGCACTCTCCAGGAGCTCGACATCGACGACCTGGAGTCGCACCGCAGCGACGATCCGCGTGGCATGCGTCGGCACAAAGCGGCCCACTCGGTGGTGCAGATCGGCCGGCGGAAGGAGGGCGGTATCCCTCACGATACCTTCAAGAAGATGTACGATCATTCGCCGCACGAGGTGTTCGTCCAACTGGACGAGCTGCACGGCATGGGCGAGGAGCGTGAGTGGAGAGAGACCGCCCGCTGGATCAAATATGAGGAAGACGTCGAAGAGGGTGCTGATAGATGGGGCAGACCTCATGTGGCCTCCCTGAGCTTTCACTCTCTGTTGAATCTCCGCCGTTGTCTTGAGACCGGCGTAGTCCTTCTCGACCTGGAAGAGAAGGACCTGCCTGGGCTGGCCTACAGGGTGGTCGAGCAGATGGTCGTCGAGGAGCTGATCCTGGCCGAGGACAGACCGGTCGTGATGCGAGCGCTGCTGCTCAGACATCGACACGTGCATGAGCATGAACGGGGCTTCCGTTTCGGCGCTAAGAGGAGTTATTCCAGCTACACCAGCCTTCAGGTAGTTCCTTATATTGACCCGTCGCTCATATTGACTCCGTTGCGTGACAGCGGCCGAATCTCGATTAATCGCAAGAGTAGCCTGCAAGTTGCTTGCGTAGTAGAGTAAATAAGTAGCGAGGCGACAGATGAGGGGATCGTGATAATCGATCTTCAACAGGTAACGTTCGTTTACAGGCTTCGGGGCTGCTATGTAGATTCAATTCCACGACGAATCGAACGAACGTTTTTTCTCACGGGGACTTCACGATTCTACGAACTGTTACACGGAAAGAAAATGCTACGGAATCAATAAAATTGATTACTAGTACAGTGTCCCGTTTAAAAGATAGAATTACATAAGAAAAGTCGGTGTAAGCGAATCTTGTTTTTGATAGAAAATGGCAAAATCACAGAAGGACATATTCAGAATATTTAATTGTTCAGCATAATACACTTAGTTGTTAAAAATAAGTTACGATATAAAAACGAAACAATTTTTTATATGAGCTGAAATGTGAGAAATTGAAATTTGGTAAATAATAATTATGGTAATGGTAATTGGTAATTTGGAAATGATAAGTTCAAACAAAATTATATAATATTTCGACGAAACTTGTATATATTTTTATCAATTCTTATCGAATTCTTTTCAGCAGGATGATTAAGACGAATCTTCTTGCAAAGTTATTGTGAAACCAATACTCGAATTATCACAATAAATGCGTTATACTATATTATTTTAATAATTCGCGTATTAGCCTCAATAATACTAATATTGAATGAAAAAGATTTGCTCAGCATACTGTTCGCCAATTCTACCGATTCGATAGTATCTTCTCCTAGTATAGCAGTTCGGAATCTGCAGTTGTAGTGAACGAAAAGAAGGTTGATCGATATTGAACGGATGACGATGTATCTTGTCGTGCTCGCGTAGCAATTTTAGACAAATGAATTTTACACTAGTCTACGCAGTCTACGAGCCTCGAAACACCGAAGACTACCTAGGACTATCAGTGTCGCGATCAGTAGTAGCAAGTAGTTGTAGCGGGGTGGTAGCGGGAAATAGCTTTGACTGACAGTGTGCTAATGTTGTTTCCACAGTCCATCTGGCTGGAGGAAGAAGATGCTGCGCGGGAAGTCGCTGAGAACCATGTAACCCAACATGTAAATCTCTCGTTTCCCGAATAGAACGCAGTTTTTTCATTCTTACCGCTAGTCCTTATTTGCTCGCACTTTTCACGCGGATTTTTTTTATTTCTTTGTATTTCTTAATCTCTAAAGCTCCAGCATGAAGTGACTTTATCAGTTCTGTCGATTAAGGTAAACGTACCAACGCCTATATGTACACGTACCTTTATAACTCTAGACTTTCTTATTTTACATTATTGTTTTGATTTTGAAATACGAATTTTTTAATTTTCAACATAGAATATATATGCAGAGTGTTTCAGAATGTTCTCTATTTTTGTGGGAACGTAGAACGAATTGAGGTGAACATGAAAGTCCTATACCGTTCTGAGATATTTGTAATAATAGTTGAGATATTATTTACAAACAATTAGTGAATTACTAAGAGTGTAAAAGTCATATAACGTAAGATTCTAAAATAACTCTGTTGTTTTTTTTATATTAAAGGAAAATATGTAAGGAATAAATTGTGTGCTTGGAATAATTGGTTGACCACAATATTCACCCCCTTCCAATTACACAATTTATTTCTTACACATTTTCCTCTTATATAAAAAACAATAAAAATAATTTCGAATATGATGTTACTTGACTTATTTTATATTCTTTCTATACTGAAATTTTAAATATTCTTAAATATTTAAAGGCCAAAACAATAAGAATATCTGGGGTTATGTATGTGTTACGAAACGAGAAAAATTATCAGCTTAATTTCTTTTTTATTTTACACTCTCAGTATATGTTTCATGTCTCGTACGCCTATATATAACAATATTATCGTACCAATAATATTAGAGCGAGAAAGTTAACATCTGTCAGTAGAATCGTCGTTAGATCTGGTAGAAAACTAGATAGAATTATAGATTTAGCGTGTAGGATCCGTCTTAGTTGTAGTCTCTGTGTCTTTTCTTTTTGTTCGTAGTGTCGGGACTAGCGAGGAGCTTATTTAAACGGGGCCGAATCTTCGCACCGAGTTTTCCAGAGTTATTTCGTTCAAATCGCGCTGTGGGTTCTTTTACTTTGCAGTCGTGCTAAATGAAACCAAATCGCAGCGTGTTCCAACAGCTTCATCTATTGTGTATCGTACTTTCGCGAATGTCTTATCAACTGCTCCCAGAACTTGGATAACAAACTGGAACACTGGAAGTGTTCGCGGTTGAACGACGCTTGTCGATCGATATTGGCGACCACGAACGCCTGCAATCGCCGTATCACGTCTCTGTTCTTTGGATTTTACTTTTGTAATTTCCTCATCTTTTTTGTACGGAGCCAATCACGAAGATACGACGTCTCGTTTTATATTTTATCGCGATCTCGAGGTTCTACTTCTGCACTGAGAAAGAAAATGGTAGTACTAACGAGACTTTGCTCGGACGAGCAAACATTTGAATTGAATTGAAACTGTAGAGTTGTCGCGATGAGTTATCGATTGATTCAATGATTGCGATTTGGTCAGCAACTACATAGCGCAATGTATCATCGCGTCAATGCGCAATTCGTCAAGTGGACACGATATTTTTTTAAAGTGATCGCCGACTTTCTCGGTCTATTTTTTTCGCAGCGTGAGATTACGTCATATTTTTGTGTACCATACATTGACAAATTCATTTAGGTGGGTTAATCAAAATTTGGTTAAAAGGTCGAACAAATGCTTTGGTTGTGAGGGCCAAAATTTTGTTTTTTCTACCAAAGATTCTACCTTTGATTGTCTGAAACTAAACCTGTTTCATTTTTGTTTCAAAAAATCAAACCTTTGATTCAAAGTACCAAATATTGATTTTCACAACCAAAACATCCCAAACAACATAATGTCTAAAATCGGGACATAAGACGTCTTAAAGATAATCTTTAAGACGTCTTAAAGATTATCTTTAAGACGTCTTATGTCCCGATTTTAGACATTATGTTGTCTGGGATTTATTGCATCTTATTTTAACCAAATTTTGGTTAACTCAACTAAATGAGTTTTTCAGTGTACTGTTATTGTACAGCACGAGTATATTGTGTTCGGCAGTATTCAAAAAAACATAATTTTATTTCCGAATATCTTCTTATCAGGTATGTAAATATGAAACCGGAATTTTTGTATAGGAAATACACGTTTATTGTATGAAAATGATAAAAAATATTTTATTCGAAGTATTGCCCATCGCTAGCTATACATTTTTCCCACCTGTCTAACAATTTGTGGATGCCACGCCAAAAAAATTGTTGCTCTTTTGAGGCAAACCAGTCATCGAGCCATTTTCGTACATTTTCGTAAGAAGTGAAGCGCTGCTTAACAAGTGCGTGTACCATCGATGCAAATAAATAGTAATCGGACGGAGCTAAGTCTGGTGAGTAAGCCGCATGCGAAAGTATTTCCCAACTAAACGCCTCAATCGTTTCCTTGACCAGTTTTGCTGTGTGATGGTGCATTATCATAAAACAAAATCACTTTGTGTTGCCTTTTTTTATATTCTGGTCGTTTTTCACGCAAAGCTTGATTCAAATCGATCATTTGTTGTCGGTAGCGTTCAGTATTAACGGTTTGGCCAGGTTTTAGCAGCTCATAATAGATCACACCCTTCTGATCCCACCAAACACAGAGCATTGTCTTCCGTCCATAGCGATTTGGCCTTGCAGTCGTTGTCGATGGTTCGCCTGGAGTTACCCATGATCTTTTACGCTTAGGATTCTCAAAATATATCCACTTTTCATCGCCAGTCACAATTCGATGGAGAAATGACTTTCTTTTGTACTTGGCGAGCAGCATTTCGCAAGTGGTTTTTCGGTTTTCCTGCTGTCTTTCATTCAGTTCATGTGGAACCCATTTTCGCATCTTCTGGATCTTTCCCATGGCTTTCAAACGTATGGAGACGGCTTCTCGTGTCACATTTAATTGATCCGCGAGTTGTTGTTGCGTTTGAGTGTCATCCTCATCCAACAATGCTTGCAATTCGCTGTCTTCAAACTTTTTCGGTGGTCTTCCACGTTCTTCGTTTCTCACGTCAAAATCGCCACTTTTTAATTTTTTAAACCACTCAAAGCACTGTGATTTACCAAGAGCATGCTCACCGTAAGCTTCGGCAAGCATTCGATGCGATTCTGCAGCAGTTTTCTTCAAATGGTAACAGAAAATCAATGCTGTCCGCGAATTGTAGTTTCGAGGCACAAAATTCGACATGTTCAACGCTATTACACTATGCTGTTGTATGAAACTTGTATTGTTGTGAGTTGAAAATCTTTGTCAGAGATGTCAACAAGAAAATGGCACCAATGACGCGGTTTGACTGTAACTACATTGACAGCTAGGGCCATCTATGGGCAAATTCCGGTTTCATATTTACAGACCTGGTATATATGATCTTAAAAAGATTCTTCTTTCTTCTAAAAGGAAAATATTCTAACAACGGGAAAAAGAACTTTCGTTGCAAGGCGCTGGTTTTTCTGCAATCCCATATTTTAAGCGGAAATTCTTATCGAAAAAAATATTCTTCTTCTATTAGAGTGAACTATTAATTGGAAAACTATTATTCTAATTTTTCTCCTTTTAAATAAGAAAAAATATGTTTACTTAAAACAGAATGCTCTCTTACTAGAAGAAATTTCTACTAAGAATAAAATTTTGTGCTGATAAAAGATAAAAGACTAAGTTCCTCTGATCTTTTGATTTTAGAAAACATTCTTGAGGTTATATATAGAGGAATATATATCCTTTAAAAATATAATTATGTATTTTGGATGAGTGTAACGATATATACGTAGCGTTTCCCTATTTAGAATGATGAATACAAAGCAGTAACATTACTTAAAGTTTATTCTGAATTGGATGATAATTGATTTACATTAAAATTCCAATTGAACGTGATATAATCTTATTGTTTTGTATTCATCATTTTAAGCAGGGATTTTAAGCATTTTCTTCACTTTTAGATTCAGATAAATATTTCTGTCACGCGCACTTTTCTTGTTTGAGATGTCTCGTCTTCTTTTTCCATTTTGATTGCGATACTAAAAAGGCAATCACATTTCTTTCGTTCTTTGGCACATTTTTCTTTCCTTGGATTCTAAACTTTTAAGAGTCGATTAAGTTTTCTCGTTAATGGGAGTTATTACTTCCGCACATATTTCTCTTTGTGCATAAGTAAACGCAAAATATAATATCATGAAATTAGGTAAAAATTAGATTATTTCGACGTTTTTTGCAGGAGTTTTGGACGTACATTTTCTCGCTTCTGACATCATTAGACAAGAGTTCTGCGACGAGCGATTAGGAGCTTTAATGATACAGATCGTTCTAGTTTCATGATATTGGAACACAATCAGCTATACTTTCTTAACTCTTAATTCTTACGGAGAAACTATATGTATAATTTTCTTCGGTAGCACCCGAGATCTCTCTTTCACAGATTTTCTTTAACAATCTCATAAAATTCAACAGAATTTACACGACGCAAAGCCGAAGATCGTGTCGTCGAACTTGGCCCTGGACAGTAATCATGTCGTGGTTGATGTCAAGGAGGAACTAACATACACGAGCAGCAACGAGGATCTGAAGAAAAGTCACAACGAGTACATTCTGAAGAGGATCCCAGCTGGTGCTGAGGCAACGGTTGTTCTCGTCGGTGCCGTTGACTTCCTGGACCAGCCGACAATAGCTTTCGTACGACTGGCTGAAGGTGTGTTCATGCCGTCCATCACGGAAGTCACGATACCGGTGAGGTTCATGTTCACCCTACTGGGACCGAGGAACGCAGATCTGGATTACCATGAGATCGGTCGGTCTATCTCTACTCTGATGGCGAACACGTCATTCCACAAAGTCGCGTACAAGGCCACCGAGAGACGAGAATTATTGTCAGCTATCAACGAGTTCTTGGACGATTCGATCGTACTGCCACCCGGTGACTGGGAAAGACAAGCGCTGCTGCCTTTCGACGAGCTCAAGGCGAAGAGCGAAGCCATCAGGAAGAGAAAGGCGAAGGCGCTCGAGGAGAAGACCAAACCAGTGCAAAGTGAAACAGCTGTAAAGAAAGGTAAAGACTTGGCTCCTTCGATGAGTGTGTCTCGGTTGATCGTGGCCGTTTGTATCTAATTATTGAGTCTGTTGCCATTCAATCAGATAGTTAAATCTGTTTAACTGAGTTAATTTTGTAAGAGAAGACGAGAGAAATCTCTCTTATCTAGTTGCATTTGTCAAGATAGTATGTTCCTCAGTTCGCTTTATATTCCTTACAATTTAAATTCAATTTTTTATTTAGACTAGTTATTTCTTTTAAAACGCATTAATTTTAATTTATATTAACTCTTTTTATATAAATTATAACATAAAAGAATTCATAAAAGTTCAATAAAAATAGTTAAGAAAAGTTTTGTGTATGTATTGGGAGTACAAATTAGTTCGGTCCGTTTTTTGTGGTCAAAAATGCATTTATTTCAGAACAAAATGAATGAACAGATTAATCAAAGTATTGTCCATCGCTGGCTACTACTTTCTCTCAGGCAATTTTCGAATTCCATCTCGTCGAAAAAATGTCTCGTCTTTTGAGGTGATCCAAGTTAGGAGCGAATTTTCGATTTCTGCGAAAGAAGTGAACCGGTGACCTGCCAAATCGTGTTGCATCCGTCGGAACAACCAGTAATTAGAAGGAGCAATGTCCGGCGAATACGGCGGGTGCGGTAAAATATCCCACTTGAGCGTTTCCAAATAATTTTTTACGACTTTTGCGACATGAGGCCGAGCGTTATCATGCAGAAGAATAACTTTGTCATGTCTTTGCTCGTATTCCGGCCGTTTTTCTCGTAATGCACGGCTCAAACGAATCAATTGTAGCCTATACCGATGGCCCGTAATGGAATCGCCAGGTTGTAGCAGCTCATAGTATACAACACCCTTTTGGTCCCACCAGATACACAGCATGACCTTCGAGCCATGAATATTCGGCTTTGGTGTTGATGTTGAGGTCGATGGCAACGATCGACCGGGCATAGCGTAATATTTTTTCTTCTTGGGGTTATCGTAGAATATCCATTTCTCATCCCCAGTCACAATCCGATGTAAAAAAACCCTTTCTTTGTTGTCTTTGAATCAGCTGCTCGCAAGTGAAAAATCACCTTTCAACGTTTTTCAGTTTCAGTTCATAAGGCACCCAATTGCCTTGCTTGTGAATCATTCCCATGGATTTCAATCGTACGGAAACTGCTTGTTGCGTAACTCCCAATGATTCTGCAAGCTCCTCTTGCGTTTGACTCGGATCTTCATCGAGTAATGCCTCCAATTCTTTGTCTTCGAATTTTTTTGGTTGTCCAGAGCGAGGCTTGTCTTCAACGCTGAAATCACCATTCTTAAAACGTCGAAACCATTCCCTACATGATTTATCAGTTGGAGCATTGTCACCATAAACTTCTACAAGCATTCGATGCGCTTCAGCTGCACTTTTCTTCCAATTAAAGCAGAAAACTAAAACCTCCCGCAAATGCTGCTTAGTTAACACAAAATTTGACATATTCAACACAGTAAAAAACAGGGGTTTTGTATGAAACTCAAAGCGATATAAACTGAATATTATTGACAGATGTCTAACCTCTCTGAAACCACCGAAATCAGCTGTCACTATGAAACATTCATAACAGCCAGAGCCATCTTTTGAAAACGGACCGAACTAATTTGTACTCCCAATAACTTTTAACTGAACTGAGTTAATTTTATAAGCCATTGACCTTGAGCTTACTTGAAAAAAAAAGTATCAACTTAATCTGGCGATAACTAATCGTGGGCGATCTACAGCTCTCTTAGCAGGCGAGGAAGAGAAGAAACCACCAGAAGACGATGACGATCCGCTGCGGCGCACCAGACGACCATTCGGCGGCCTCATCAACGACATCAAGCGTCGCTATCCTTTTTACTTGTCAGATTTTACGGATGGTCTTAACTCGTCCTGTCTTGCGGCTGCTATTTTCATGTACTTCGCCGCACTCTGTACCGCCATCACCTTCGGCGGCCTGATGAGCGACAAAACGCAGAATGTAATCGGCATCTCCGAGACTCTGGTCTCTGGCTCGTGGACAGGTGTGGTGATGGCGTTGTTCGCCACCCAACCGCTGGTCATCATCGGCACGACCGGTCCACTGTTGCTATTCGACGAAAGCTTGTACAACTTCTGCATAGCGAACGAGCTCGAGTTTCTCACTGTTCGAGTGTATGTGGGTGCTTGGATGGGCATTATCGCCCTGGTGATCGCCTGCGTGGAAGGCTCTGTCCTCGTGCGGCTCTTCACACGCTTCACGGAGGAAATCTTCACCGGACTGATCTCCATTCTTTACATCGTCGAAACGTTCATCAAGCTCTACAATTACTTTGTGCGCAACCCCCTCCTTCACGAATATAGCTTCGGGCCGAACATCAACGACACCGCCTACCCGCTATACGTCACCGAGATGAAAATCACTACGTGGAATGAGAGCGAGATGACGTATCGCTTGGAGAATGCCAGCGAGCTGGTACCGAGGTACGACATCGCCGGGCTGCTGATCAATCAACCCAATACGGCTCTGATGTGTACGATCCTTTGTCTCGGTACCTTCCTGGGTGCCTACTATCTGAGAATCTTCCGCAACAGCCATTACTTGGGCCGTAGCGCTCGTAGAGCCTTCGGTGACTTTGGCGTGCCAATCAGTATAATCGTTTTCGTCCTGATCGATTACTTGGCTACGGTGAAGACAGAGAAGCTGCTGGTCCCCGAAGGACTCACCCCGACAGAACCCGACAGAAGCTGGTTCGTATCGCCCGCCGGTATGGAGAAACCAATTCCGTTCTGGATGGCGTTAGCTTGCGTGGTGCCCGCTTTGCTAGTCTACATTTTGGTATTCATGGAGACTCAAATATCGGAGTAAGTAATCTAGACAGCACAAATACTTAAAGTATATCTTAGAATATATTAAAAAAACATACGTTGAAGAACGTCTAAAACAAATTAAATGTTTTTTAAATGTCCTTAACGGATTGTTTTATCGGCTATGGAACGTCTAAAAAGCTTAAAGCTCAAGTTCATCTTCAAATCTTAAACTTAAAGCCACGTAGAGCAAAAAAATGACGACGATGTTAAAATGATAAAAAAAATGAGTAAAAAGCTTTTCAATCATATTCAGATAATTTCTTCGTCATTTTGACGAAAGTGATTTTTTGTTCTGCTTGGGGACAGATTTAGATTTTAGATCGTGAATACCGGTCTAAGACTATTTTAGACATTTATGCTCTCTGGAACGTTCAGCTGATTCGACTGGACTCCATTCTCAGAGATAATCAACTCGCTTGACTAGCCGTTACATTCTTTTTCCACAGATTGATCATCGACAAGAAAGAGCGCAAGCTGCGGAAGGGTAACGGCTACCACATGGACATAGTCGTGGTGTGTCTGATGAATGTGGGATGCGGTCTAATGGGTGCACCGTGGTGTTCCGCTGCGTCGGTGCGCTCCCTGACGCATGTGTCGGCTGTGACCGTGATGTCGCGCACGCATGCACCAGGCGACAAGCCTCACATCGTCGAGGTGAAGGAGCAGAGGGTGAGCGCTCTTTTAGTTGCCATACTGATAGGCGTGAGCGTGCTGATGGCGCCGCTACTGCGACGAGTGCCGATGTCCGTCTTGCTGGGTGTATTTCTCTACATGGGCATCTCGTCGACGAATGGCGTGCAACTGTTCGACCGTGTCAAGCTGTTCTTCATGCCAGTCAAGCATCACGGCACGGCCAAATACGTGCGTCGCGTCCAAACTTACAAGATGCACGTGTTCACCTTAATACAGATTCTGTGCCTGGCCGTGCTGTGGATCGTGAAAAGCACCAGGGCCGCGCTGGCCCTGCCGTTCTTCCTCATCCTGATGATCCCGCTGCGCGCTCAGATGAGCCACTTCTTCACTGTCGCGGAGCTACGCGCCCTCGACAGCAAGGGGTCCGAACACGAAAACGAGTTGGACTTCTACGAGGAGGCTCCACTACCTGGTTAGACTGTGCCTTAATCGAACTCTATCGCGCGACGTGTCTCTCTCTGGACTCACTTGTCCTGTACCTTCCGAAACTATTAAACTCGTATACCTGTCTCGCATCAGGGTCTTTTAAGAGGAAGAGAAGAAAAAAAAACACAGAAAGACAGAAGGAACAAGCGTCCAGCTGCGTTCTGTTCGACAGCATTTGTAATTTTATTTTCGTCAGATTGGAATATATAACATATTCCGGGTCCATTGATAGAGAAACTGTTAAGCGGCGTGATTGTAGTTCAAGATAGAGATAAGATATGCGTATAGAGGTTCACCGACGGTCGTCAGATCATCGATATCTCTCGTTTGTGCGGATTCTTAGTTGCACGAGTCCTTTTGTTTACGCATAATCCTCGCTTCCATAGTTCCTTCGTTCTGGCGATCTTGGACTTTGCACGGATCTCCTGGCCTCTGTGTATCACGTCAATCCAACATAGGTCTACCGCAGATTCCGCAACGTTTACGCGAATATATTAGCTTCCCCGAATCTCTTGATACGTTTTGGATCTTCAGCTATTACGTGCATCCCAATAAACACTAGCCAACAGTAACATTATATCAATTTAATCTATATTATCTCGCTATAATGCACAATTGTTACATGTATGTAACTGTTACATACATGTATTATAATATTATCTAGATATTAATATCTAGACGTTAATATTATCCGAATTGCACAAGATATTTTTAAATAAACATTGAAAATTTGTCCAAGATGCCCTCAGGAGTACACTAGAACGTATTAAACACATCCAGGACATTTTGTACTATTTGGGTGCATTTACATTGAATGAGAAATTATATCATTGACATAATGTTACTCTTAGTTGATATTTACTGGGATATTACTAACGAAGACACTCGGTCCTTCATTTCGCGTGTCTTTGACTCTGCGAGCGCGACGTTTCGCGGTTCTCGCTTTTATGCTTCAGTTTTGATAGTCGTTTTTTTTCAACTATTCGGTAACTATTCGGTTCTTGTTGCTAAGGTGCGTGCATGTTCGGTTCCCACAGCTGCTTCGTAATGTAAAAGCCCGACTACGCGTTGCGAGGCGATTGAATTGCTCGGGCATGCCTAATGAGTGCTAGGATAATGTTTGCGTTCTTGAAATTATATGGAAAACCGGTGCCTCTGAGTGCCTCATGTTTGCGCTCGACGATACAATGCTCAGGAAACGTTAATGTAATGGCACGCGTAAGGATAGTGCCAAAAAAAAATAAAAAAAAAGAAATCGAGATATTGCGAGGACGACATAATTTGGCTAGTGGCGAACCAGATCGTCACGTGAGAAACAATTGTCCTGCGCGTCCCTCCTTCCGCGTATGTTACACACGTAGTTCCTTCGAGTTCTTCTCGAGAAATAACTACGAGGAGTTCATGAATATCTCACAGAAGTCTCTCTCGAGTTTTTCTAAGTCCCCGCGGATTTCTCGCGTTTCAGGATTATTCCTCCTTCTCGTGATCGTGTGTAGATTCGCGAACCTTCATAGACAGCTTGAATATGTACGCATTGCGAAAAGAATCTTCCTGATTCTCTTCGTATTCTACCGATTTCGTCGATTTCGCATCTCATCGGTCATCGATTTCACGACGACCTGCGTGAATTTTAGGCCTTAAAGAGCGGCACTGCTCTGCACGATGATCCTTCCAAAAAAAAAAAAAAGAAAAGAAACTCTTCCATCTATACACTTTTGAGTCCAACCTCCGACTCTTACGCCCTCCGTCGCTCTCCCTGCTCGCGTAATACACATATCCTCAGATTCGTAGGTACTAATGTACACTTATTCTTACATACATATATAAATAGATGTATACACGAATTTCTACACGTTTCCTTTATTTGCACGGGTACTTACACTCACAGATACTTAAGTAAAGAAAGAGAGAGAAAGAGGGAGGAGAGAGAGAGAGAGAGAGAGAGAGAAAGATTCTTGCATATTTTTATATATCTCTCTACAGACACGTCGATGAGTTCTCGAGCCTCGTAAATTTTCGCATAGATAGATCCTGCGCGCGTCTCGATCGTAAATTCTCGAGCGTGTGACTCGACGAAGAAGCGTCGTGACGTTTACCTTACTAAACTTTAATCCAAATCTGTACGTCCTGCGGATTTTACCGAATCGGTGCTCGCGCGCGAGCTTACTTACTGACCTATTCACGATTTTAATCTTGTTCTTTTTTATTTTTAATCTTTTTACTCGCTTGAAACCTGAAGAGGATAAGGTTCGCATGAATGCTCACGTTTCAGGCAAGACCAAGCGATCGATGACGCTATAATTAGAGCTGATCCGAACTATAGTAAGGAATAAGGCTGGTGAGAAAGGCGGTGTTATAGTTAACTAAATGAACTATTTTCGAACAAATAGAGGATATATATATATATACACACACATATATATAAATATACATATTATATATATATATAAATATAGAGGATACACTGTATTTTCATTCGTTAGAGTATTTTACTAAAAAAAAACTTCTGTAAAGTCGTTTCTGCTTCATACAGATTTGACGATTGTTAATTAATTAGTCGATAGCAGAAAGAGAAAAATAAAGAGAGGAAAAGAAGGATGGGAGAGGTGACACTTAACATTGTGATAGCGAACAAGAATCGCTCAGAAACAAGATGGTACCTACGAGCACTTAATGTTAGTAACAACTTTGTAACTCAGACTCTAATTAGCGACGTTTAATCGATCCGTAGACTATTATCGATATACAGACGCGCGCACACATACATACCATACATACACGTGTAGGTACGTTACTGTATCGTTGGTATTGCGTTGTAACGAGAGATTATCGAGGTAAATATTGTTATGGTGCGACAGAATAATTGTAAATAATCTAGTTAACGTGCAGTATTAAAGAAAAAGAAAGAGAGAGAGAGAATAATAATTAGCAATAGGCTCTCAGTAGCTGATTTACGCCTTAAATTAGCGAATGAAGAAATAAAACGTATTTTAATTGCTTCCCGCGTTTTTATTTCATTTACACCTAGCCGCGAAATTCGCCGTTCACTCTTCACTTTATAAAGACGCGACATTACCGCTTCCAATTCCAAGTTCATAAAGCAAATCAAAACAATGTATGTATATAGTAATTACTTTGGGATACTCTATATAGTGTCTCTGTAGTCGATGTACGTTCGCGCATTGTTCACTCGTCGTCCGCGTTAGTGTTTGTATGTGGTGTGTATTCGTAGTATCCTTGGTTTAGGCGTCGATAAGAAATCAGATCGATATCATGTCGAATGAAAGAAGAGTCGTGTAGAAATCAGCGATCGATGTGATATCTCTAAGACTTCATCATGATGAAGTCTGGAAGATATTGTGTAGATGTCGACGACCTAGCTGTTATCCAGCTTACAGCATACTCAGATATATTAGGCGTGTAAATTAATTCGGTGCCTTTTTTATGAAATTCAAACTTTATTTACCAATTAAGCATTATAATATTAATCAAAATAATCGTCTTCGTTTTGTACAACTTGGATCCACTTTTGGGGCAACTGGGACGGGTTCTGTCGCGGAAAAATGTGACGATTTAGACTCGATAAATTCATCGATGCATTTTTTCACGTCTTCGACATTGTTAAAGCGCGTATCACATCGATAGTGCTGGAGAGACCGAAACATGTGAAAATCGGAACCAAGTTCTGGTGAATACGTCGAAATTTCTGGAACCACTTTATGCACGTTTTGTATCTTACAGCATCTTCATCTAATCAATTCAGTTGCCTCACTAGCATTTTTCTTCAACTGAAATGCAAAGAGAATGCAGGGATTGATATGCGTTTTATCAGCAGCCATTGTGAGCACTATTAACTTTAAAATTTATATTAACTATGCAGCTAAGTTTCATGATGTTTCATAAACATAAATGATTACATTTAATAGAAAAAGCGGTCTTAATGAGCACTTTGCGCTGTACCGCCAGCAACTTTGCTAAAGACTTTGTTAAACTGCTTTTCCTGCTGAATGTAACCATTGACGCCTCTTGAAAACTATAACGGAAAAATATTTAAAGTATAATTTAAAAAAGAACAAGTAAATGTTAATGTAAAAGGCACTGAATTAATTTACATACCTAATATCAGATATTAATTTAACTTGAACATAATATCAATCAGATATAGACTACATTATCAAACAATCAGCTGACATCGATCTTTTAAGTATCATATAGATAAATAAATGTCGATTATACATCAACATGAAATGGATAAAATGTGAGGCGGGTGTCGTCTATGGATCTTTCTTCATACATCAATAAATAATAAGACATCGTCAAATCAAACGGTTCGAGAAATCATCATTAATATCGACTTCGATCACCAACTCCTGAACCAGGGATGTGAATAGATATTACAGCGAGCGCAGTCTCACTGAAAATTCTGTGTAACTGTGTTGCAATTATTATGGCGATTACGATCAATGGTAACGCAATAATAAATGGCCTCACCGCGAATAGTGCCCACATTGAAGCGCCTGTCTCTCCGACCATTCGACAATATACTGGACACCAGGTGAGTGAAGAAACGTGCCGATTATTTGGACAAGTTATGAATGACATTGTAATTTCTTAGTGACGCGTTTGTTTCTCACTTTTCATCCTTCCTTTCAAGTCCAAAAACTCCGAGAAACGTTCGCGCAAGAAAGCTAGAGAATGAGAAGTTGTCGCCCTTCAATATCGACACTCCCAATAGAATGAAAATACTAAGGGAAGGTCTGCCGAAGAAACAATATCACGTGTTGGGAACGGGTGCTTTCGGTACTGTTTACAAGGCGTCTTACAAAGGTACAACGTCTTACGGTGAAATCCCATGGCACGTGTTTTCGCGTAACGCGTAACCGCATAACCAATCACATTTTTCTATTATTTTAGAAGTTTCAACAGAAATACTAAACGTCGAAATCTATTGATTACGCGCTTATGCGAAATCTATTGGTTACGCGGAAAGTACATGCCATGAGACTTCAGCCTCAGTTTCCGTTGATGATATATCTTCTCATTAAATTTAATTCTCCGGGATTATTGTATTTCACCACACACACCGCTACGCGTTCCTTTCTCCAGGGGATCAAGTGGCGGCCAAAGTGATTCAACGCAGGTCGAATGACGACGACGACGACGAAGTGATCAATTCGGAGAAACATGCGGCGATCCTGCGACACGCCAACATCGTAAAAATATTGAATGTAGAACGAGGCAGCAGTTTGTCGCTGATAACGATGGAATTGTGCGGCACATCGTTGCAGGACAAATTACAGAACACGGTCCTCGCGAGAGAGGAACGCGTCTCTATCTGGCGGGACATCGCTCATGCGCTTCAATTCTGCCATAATTCCGGTGTGATCCATGCGGACGTCAAGCCGACCAATATCCTGATGGCCGTCGACGGTCGACCTAAACTCACCGACTTTGGTAGCTCTCTCCTGATCGATGAACCGCACATTTCTGTCAAGCCGCGAGTATGCATACATGATCGTTGAATTTTTTACACCAAGTGGTTTAGCTTCCAGTATTTTCTGGCGAATTCGTGACCAAAGAGTCGCAAAGCGAATTTAGATCTGCTGAATCTTCTCAGAGACTCTTATGTAGAGGAGAAGGTGGAAATATGGACTACTGCTTTTGCTTTAAACAAAAAATTCAATATTACATGCAGTAATTGTATCATAACTGTTAGAAGTTCTAGCAAGTATATCTCTTGTAATGTATTCATAATCATTAGGAAAAATAAACTATTTAAAGAGCAGAAAATTATTTTAACATAGTGCAAGAATTGAGATCTTGAAAACTGGGTGATAATATATGTGAAACAAAATAAAAAATATAAACTTACTTTTTATTATTATAAAGATGTTGATGTTAAAATCTTCTATCTTTTTTATTCCTTTAGATGTGAAAATCACTAGTTAAAATAAAAAACTTTTTACAAAAATTAAGGAAATTATATTGATCTCATTATATATAATCTCAGTAATTCAGTTATGTAGAAGTCCTTTAAGCTTGTGGAAGTCGTAAATAAAAACATCACATTCACACCCACTGCATAAAATATGGTAATATAAGATGTAGTAATATAGAACACTTTGTTTTATATCACCATCTACTGCTATTTTTTAAACAACTCAACGAATTTTAAAGTAGGAAAAATATTTCCAACTAACTTTACGATTTTGAAGTTTAATCTTATAACTAATTAACATACTGTAACTGATGTTAGATTTATTAAAACAAGAAATGTTTTAATCTTATCTTGTGAGAAGTTTTAATAGAAAACAGTTTCTTTCAACACTATAAACATGTGATTTGATGTCAAAACCCTTTTGATGATTGATAAGGACTCTAATAGTAATATTTAATAATAATATTTATTTCAGTTGACAGACAGATTACAATAATTGTTTAAGAAATTAGTCTTGTTTCATATTACTACCTTCTCCTCTGTATGTAATGTTGGGTCTTTATCAAGTTTCTCATTAGAACTTTTTCTGTTTTTGCTCACCAGGGTACACCAGGTTATGCAGCACCAGAGGTGCTCAGAGGAAGTACACCTACATTTGCTGCCGACATTTACTCACTAGGAATCGTAGCATGGCAAATGCTGTCCCAGCAAGTACCCTTCCATGGATTACATATCCATACCATTATATACATCTCTGCAAAAGGAACACGTCCCAATGATGAAGCTCTAGATGATGAATTGGGTGGAGACTACAGAGAGCTGTACAGGGCAACATGGTCACAGAATGTTGCAGAAAGGCCTACGCTTAGTGAAATAATCAACAGACTCAATGATCTCTTGGTTGATTGTTAATATTTATTTTACTGAAATTATATTTCAAGCATGGAACATGTCTTACTTGCAGTAATTGTTGTTAAATTGATATTATAGTTGCTCTTGTCTTATAGTAGTGGTTTGGATGTAGCATATAATTCTTTTTATGTATCTGGCATTTCACCACCAGGTACCAACTGCAACAGAACGAAGAAATAACTTGAGAAATAAATTATAACAGTCTGTGTCCTAACCTATTTTGCCGTGCTGTAAAAATCACATAATTCGCTACTTTGACGTTCAAGTTTTATATTCCCAAAATCACAAAGTATCACAGCACCATTGTGATGTTGCTGCCATTCAAAAGGATCTGATCTAGCTTCGTAACTCTGCGGCCCTCAGGAGTTGCCTCACTCTCGGTCACATCTTCCAGTAACATGTTTACGAAATCGTCGAATCCCTGTAGAGTGCCGACGATCTCTTTGTCGTTTTTCATGATGATGTGTATCCGGGAACCGATGCATTTATCCACCAATTCTACAAACATAAACATTTGTTAACACGAAATGTCATTCGGCTGTTCAAGTTTGAGGTTAGAAACATTTTTGCAATATTTTAGAGCAGAAATAGGTTCTCACCTAAAGGCAACAACGTAGACGGATTCGTACTGACCGAAGTAGCCATACTGATTTATAAAATAAAGCAATACACGTAATAATTTGCAGAAATGCAACAGAGATCACTAGCTCAAACAAACACTATCACATAAATCGCGCGCCTACACTCTCTCTATGGTCAGAGAGAAGCATGAGAGCGGCCACTAGTCTGATTTCAATGGCCTGGATTTCTAACTAGCACTAGAATCCTTATAAGATAAAAGGTGCTTTCCAGCTACGTTACACTGTGTTACACAAAACCAGTTTATTGGTCACATATTATCTAAAATATCTTGTAAGATAATATGCGACCAATAAACTGGTTTTGTGTATCACAGTGTACATAACTACAGACACCTAGAGTCTGGCCACGTGCGAGTTCCTCTTTATTGATCGAAACAAGGTTTGGAAAAACATGGCGGAACCAATAGAAATTGTCATGGGAAGCGGGATAATTTGAAAATACTCGTAGTAAAAATAGTAAAGAAAATAAGTAAAAAAAAATAAAATAAGAAAATTATGAACAATTAGTAGTCTTTTATATTAAACTGTGAAATGAATAAATAAAAACATAATTTTGATTGTCAACTTGAAACATTATTAATCTGCAGGAAGCGAATATAGTGAAAAGGCTTTCTGATAATAATTCTTGCATTGTAGAACACAACACGTTGGCATTTTGAAATCTGAAAATTCATACTTCGTATTGCAGTATTTTACACAATTGCCTATTCAGATACTGTTTTGAATAAAACGAGGTTACGATGACAATTTATATAATAAATAAGACTTTTTTTATAATATCACAAATTTTAACTGAATTAACTTTTTTATTTTACTTTGGAAACCACATATAGAATAATTTTACTTACTTCTATTAACAATTTATAGTCAAACTGACACTAGTATTTATCGCGTTACGAGATAACGCGATAAATGATAACCAGATGCATTCATATATATACGACCACCATGTTTTTGAAAAACTAGTCGGTGACCAGACCACAGATGTCTATACTAAACTAGATTGCTAACTGAGGCTTCGAATTTGCGTCGCATGAGGGTTCGGTTGTATGTGAAAAAATAGCGGCGGTCCTGTGTGTGTGACATGTTACTTGTGTGAATACTTACAACGTACAATGTGAGTCAGCGTGATCATTAAATTACTGTCGTAAAACCAAAAATGCCAGCATCTTATTGCATAAAAAAATATCGTAACAAAAAAATAGATGGTATTGGACGTTATTTGCTCTATGCGTCATTTTCAACAAAAGTATTTTATGACTAAACGTAGTGAAAATATGTGGTAGCGGCCATTTTTTCGCATACACCGGAAACTCTATCGGACGCAAGTCGTTATATGCTTTTAAATAGCCTGTTAGCAATCTAGTTTAGTATCACTGAAATATATACTATCTGGAACACGCGCTGCCTCTTGAGGCGTGCGGGATGAGAGAGAGGTTCCTTGTTTCCTCTCTTATCCTTGTCTGGTTCATAGTATAGTCGAGAGTGGGGAGAATGTGATACAATCCAAGTTAAATATTGGAAATAATATGAAAAGCAATGACCACTGAATGGCAATGACTTAAGCTTATGAATGAAAGTATAAAAGAATAAGATAAAGTATAAGATATAAAAAAATATATATATTTTTTCTCATTTATTAGTATTCACTTATCGACTTATTATTAAGAAAAACAAAGCAAAGATGGTTCCTAATTCGGAGATTTAGCTTATGTTTAGAAATCAGCCGACTTAGTTTTTAGTTTAGACTGTACTAGGCAAAGATAGAGCGCTATTCGAGACCTACAAGCATGCTCTCTCTCATCCCGCACACTCAAGAGGTAGCGCGTGTTCCAGGCAGTATATATTTTAGTGATTGTTAGTAGCGGCGGTAGTAGCCATCTTTGAAGGGACTACATGCATAGACATTACTTAAGTTAGTGGTAGTGAATACGTAGTCATTGGTAGTCGTGTGATATTATTTTATTTTACCATATTTATGTTATTAAATATTATTGTAAAAATTTTTATAAAACGCAAAATGGAATTTAATTATTTTGGTAAGTATTAAAATGTTTAATTAGAACGTTTTAATATACAATAAAATGTTACTGTTTACCCAAATAGCACAGAAAATTAAAAAAGAATTTAAAAAAATTCTGTCATATATCACCAATTCTGAGTTCATTTTCAATTACAAAAAGAATTCTTCAGAGTTTAGTTCAGTGAAAAGAATTCTTTTTACATCCAAACATGAACTCAGAATTGATGACATACGACTGAATTCTTTCTTAATTCTCTGTGCTATCTAAGTAGATATACAACTATATTAATTATGGGCTGAAAATTATATATATATATATATATATATATATATATATATATATATATATATATATATATATATA